TTTTTTATACTTTTAATAATTTTAACTAATCAAAAGCTATTATTATATTAGGACCTGATATTTTTCTGACCCTCCCCTCACCCTAAAAATTAGATGATAAATAGTGCTCCCCTTATATGGTTAGTATTAGAGCATTCTGAAATAGTACTTTTGAGAAATTTACTCTTCACCTTTTTCTATATCTTCTGCAAGCTTTTTATATTCAGTCTTAACACGATTTGGTGCTTGTTGCCATGCTTCTAACACTTCAGGTGATAAATCAACATGCAATAATTTAGGAGATTTGATGTATTTTATTTTCAACAAATCTCCTGGCTTACTAAAATCTTTTAAAAGTTTTTGAAATTGATTTTCACATCTAAAAATAGCATGAAAACTTGGTCTAGCAACTTTTAAAAAAATAAACAAATGAGTCATTAAATATTTAGGGTATTTAAAGGTCTTGAAGTTACAGATAAAGAGTGAGACATTAAACCTGTTTGATACATACTCATTATAAATTATGATTAGCAGTCTGATATTTAACTTTTTTTCTGAGATAAATATCGAAATTTGTGTACTTACAGTTAGTAATTTCTGAATTTTGAAATATTAAAATCATAATGAAGCTCATAAGTAGGCAATTGCAATATTTGACTTTCAAGAAGAAAAAAAGTGTAAATAACTAAATGTCAAGTGAAAAATGAAAAGTTTTTTTTCCTATTGAAACTGGGAATGCTGATATCTCACTTTAAATAATTTTTGATAGATTCTCAATTATATAAAAAAAAAAAAGAAACTATTATTAAAGCTACATATTACTAATCTACTGTATATTATTATTTGTATATGTAAAAAAAAAAAAAAAGTAAATTAAATGTTATATAAAATATATATGTGGGTAATTACAGACCAAATATTATTACATCATATATAAAATTGGTCCAGGCTCAAAACAAAAATTTTGTTTTCAAAATTGTGAATTTTCGATATGGTGTACTACATATAAACTGACTTTTTCTAAAATGAAATAAAAGAAAGTCCTCTTTCAGAAATTTAGGTTAAATTACAAACTATCAATTTGAAAGAGAATTTTTTGATTTAATAATTTTTTATTAAGTAAGTTATATACTATTTTAAAAAACAATTAAAATTATCTTATGCTGTCCCATACTGTATAATATCTAAATTAGATGTTTACAACATTTATTGTTAATATCTGGCATTTATGCTGTTGATAGAGTACCTTTTTTGTATAATGTATGTCGTATTAGGGTGGGTTGTTAACTAAGTAAATCAAAAACTATGTAGTCGATGCATATATATACTGTATATATATAATTGGAATAAATACAGCAGAAAATTTTACCGCTAATTGACTCTTTTCTATTATATTAACAAAGTTATAGAGCTATTTTATATTACATATGAAACCCAAATATTTTTTCTAATTACTTTATTTGTATTTATTATTGAATAACCTGGATGAAAGTTAAAATTGCTAGTAGATTTTTTTTTTAATTAAATATAAATTTTGAAACTGTAACTTGAATTATAAAGACCTTCTATCAATATGTTTAAATTTCAGGATTCTAACTTTAGTTGTAAAGGCTCTGTATCTAAATCATTGTTGCCAATAAAATATTAATGTATATTGATTATAATAATGAAGATTATATTAAGCTAACAAAAATTTTATATGTAACAAATTTTTTTTTTTCGCGACTTTTACGTACCAAATTTTGGGAAGATTTAAGAAGAGTTAACCCAGTGATCATCACAATATCACATGACCATCATTCAGCCTAAGTTATGGTTAAGTTAGGGTTAATTTAGAATATAGTTTAGACCAGTTTATTTAATTCTAGTAAACAAATGACATCATGATTGTTGATTACTGGGTTAACTGTTCTTAAAGTGGAGAAAG